GGGGGGGGGGGGGGTCAAGGGGAATCGTTCCACGGGGAGGGAGAGCCCAACGTGGTCCCGGGGAACAGGCCAGAGAAGCGCGGTGTAGGGCGTCAGGGACAGACTAGTGTTATACGACGACATGCGTAACGTGCCGCGGCATGCAACCTCAGCCATTTAGCTAAACGCTACTCGGACGTCAGGGACATGGGCCACCGGAGTAACCCAAGAAGGTGTTGGTTGCGAGGGACGCGGCTTGTCCCGCGCAGGTGGTGGTTCTCCCACCTCAGACGCCGAATGGACACGGTGGGAGCAGGCAAAAGGAGGAGCAGAGGCTCCAGCGGCCGCCAAGAACGGCCATTCACATCATCAAATGCATCCCAGTGGAGACCATTGTGCGCAGAATCAGAGAATGTTACACCGAATTACCAATAACAGTACGAAATTCATCATTATTCTTAACGCCCAAATCAAGAATACTTACTGAGTATGGAACACAAAGGGAATGCAGAAGAGAATTACTAACACTTTACCGCATCGAAGACATTTGGGTAGAATTCTCATCCGAGGTACATNTCAAGCCCAAATCAAGAATACTTACTGAGTATGGAACACAAAGGGAATGCAGCAGAGAATTACCAACACTTTACCGCATCGAAGACACTTGGGTAGAATTCTCACCCGAGGTACATGTTCGTCACCTTCAACCACAGACGCTCAAACCACTAACAACAATCACCTGGAGGTACTTAACACCCGGATAACTAACCTCCAGCGAAATATATTCGAAACAAAACATCGAAAAGCTGCGAGACCACATCATGTTCCCTGCCGAGAAGCCCGCCTTACTAAACTCACTGACCAGAGGAATCACCGGATATAAAACAGGAGAAAACATCGCCTCCATGTACGACCTATTGGACAAAAAATCTCTTAATAAAATTGCTGAAAACACCGCAAAGAAAGTATGGTCAGAATTCGTCACCTTCAGCTCAGCAACCGCAGGAGTTCTCGGAATATTCATCGTCATCCGCATAATCAAGCTGTTAGTAGACACCGCCATCCATGGATACGCTCTTCACACCGTGTACGGATGCAGTTTGCACCTTCTTGGCGCTATATGGAGTTCGCTCACCCACCTATTGCTGCACCTTGCACATAAGCCTCCCAGACGACCAAGGACACCAGGAGAAAAGAACACCGACGAAGAATTCCCACAACAGTTGCACCAACAAGCTGCTTCACCTCTGATAATCACCACGGAGCAACCTGGAAAAGGAAACTTGTCATCAGAAATAACATACTATCAATTTAAAGGTGAGACACCACTGTAATCACACGCAATAACAGATATACCAAATTTAGAATTCAAAAACATAAATAGCCGCTCAGATTATGTTAATATGAAACAGATGACTTATAAAAATTTATCAGACAGTTTAGAGAGACTAGAATAAATTTCTTCAAAGGTCGGAATTTATTCTGAAAAAGGGGGAGGTGTAACGTCCCCGCCTCAAAATTTCTTTTTGTTAATATTCAAAGTTCATTGAAGTTGTTAACCGTAACGCCAAGCGCAAAATTCAATATTATTTCGAAACGATACTTAACCTCACGTACAACGCGGCACGCGCCTATACATACAATATGACAGGCGACGCTCCTGAATGACGCACACAACGGAGTTCCGTCACACGTACGCACACACATACGCCCAGCCAGTATACGCGAGCGCTCGGACAGCTGCACCGCAAGCGCGACGCAAACCGACGATATTTTCTCTCTCTTTCTACACCGCAGCGCCCGTATCAATTAAACACCTATTTTACTCACCTTCCTGAATCCCCACTGAATCAAGACTAGACTCTTAACACTAACCGTCCAATTAGAAACCGGTTTATTGGAAAATAGAGAAACGCGAGAACCATACGTATAATATATATAAATAATTATAATAATCAATTGAAACATGCAAATTCATAGTAACTATAAAATTTTTATCACAACCATTTCAATTCAATATTCTGCTTTATTTATTCAAAACCAACCTTCACAGTTATAAATTATTAATTGTTACCTGCTAACTTAAACTGTCAATAATAAAAGTATATGCTTTACATTTCAAAAGAATTATATTAAATTCATAACGCCCCGCGACCCATACTATACTGGGTANTAATAATCAATTGAAACATGCAAATTCATAGTAACTATAAAATTTTTATCACAACCATTTCAATTCAATATTCTGCTTTATTTATTCAAAACCAACCTTCACAGTTATAAATTATTAATTGTTACCTGCTAACTTAAACTGTCAATAATAAAAGTATATGCTTTACATTTCAAAAGAATTATATTAAATTCATAACGCCCCGCGACCCATACTATACTGGGTACACACATTATACATTTCATACTCTGTACTATATAAAATTCTTAATTGCTAACAACCATAAAAACACTTGTTATAAATTATTAAATTCACAAACGCCGACAGACGACATCCATTAAAACCTGCACCCCAATCCTTCTATTATAAAGGTCTCATCCGCGATGAGGCATCTTCGCCCGCTCACTTGTACACACAGACACGCTGTAGGAAGTACACATACCACCAGTCGCCCGTGACTGTAGCGGCACTCAACGTGTTAGAATATATTGGCGCCGCATCTAAAATCTTTTTTTTTATTGGTTTACACTGCCGCTATACAAAATATAATTTAATGTAACTAATAACGTACACAGCCACGCAACAATATTATATACGTTATTATTAACATTATAATTATTAATCAAGAGCGCTCGACACACACACAATATTATAACACACCGCTTTATTCTATAGGCGATGCGTATAACCATATATATATTATTAATATTTATCGCCGTTATTCGCACAATATTAATTACTGTAAAGACACTGAAATTCACCGCACCATAAGTACGCTCACAATAAAAGACCATTCATTATCAAAAATTATTTAGGAGACGCAATACTGAATGTCGAACGTATAAAATCATAAGAGACCCAAGTTGAAAAATTAATAAATTATTATGCGCTATCTTAAACGACCGGGCATACCTCGGTCTTCTTGGAACTCTTTAGCTGCCCGGCATTACTTAAATAAATCTCGAGTTACTCGGGCAGTACTTTTCTTTGTTATTCATAAACGACATAGCACCGATCTTCTTTGTATTTTACCAAAGCGCGAGCCCCCACTCCGGTGCCATCCCTGCCTTTGTCGCCAGAGGGTATATATATCAGTGCACAGCATCCCCCATGTCTTATTTGTTCATTCAGTCTTTTTGTCTTATTCAATCTTATTAAAGCCCTTTACTTCGTTCTTATTAGTTCGAGTCACAGTACTCTTTGACTTTTATATTCTTTTATTCAACACTTAGTATTCTCTCTAGAGCGGCTCGCTCCCTCATACTAGAGGCTAGTTAGTCGGCTCCCTGGTAATCGAGCAGTTTTTACAAGCACTCCCGGCAAACCAGGCAAGTTTAAACCACGGTGCAGTGAGTTCCAGTTCCGCCTTCACACCGAGTTCCTACTTCGTGCGTACGAGCCCTGTAATAGCCGTCCGTAACGTAAGTCTTGTTTTCTTGTACTTCTGAAATATACGAATTTGATATCACGATTACATGCGAATCTCCAGACGTGTGAAGTGCGTTGTACCTTATCCCACTGCTGCATCGCGACCCAGTGAACAGATAGAGCTCTTATTAATATACTATAATTATTGGAATCCTGCTTAGAGCTTATCCAGTTGAAATTAAGTAATTACGTCCTACTTGAGGTCTAATAAGTGTGTTTTTTCAAAATTCTAAATTCTTAACTTCCTATTCTAAATTCTGCAAGCCATATTGAAACAATTCTAAATCAAGCTACATTTAATTATTGAAGCAAACATTTAATTCTCACTAAGACATTTTAGAAACATTGCTTATAAGTTCTCTCGCTCTTAACATATCTACTCCCTCTCCCTGGCTGCTCACCTCAGCGTTTGAGTTTACTGAAATATCCTGAAATCCCCTTGTTATTTTGTCACGCAGATAGCTCGCCTAGGTGCAGAGTCTGCCATCCTTACAAAACCCGCTTCGCAGATAGCTCGCCTAGGAGCAGAGCCTGCTATCCTTGTTCGCAACGCACATTTACATGTGGCCGCTTGCCTAGGAGCTGAGTTAGCCATCGTGAGTATAACTTAGAGAGCCTTACCTAGAATCTAAAGGTAAATTTGACATTAATATAGAATGCGCGTATTGCTAGATGCCTCATAAACGACGACGAGGAGGACGTAAAATTAGAGAAAAGAGAGCTCGTATTGCCGCTAAACTTAAGAGACCGAGAATTATCTCCGACCAGATAGGAACCTTCATATCGGACGAGTATGTACAACAACTGCGCGCCTCGACCATTTTTCACGAAATACTAGAGAATAAAGTTATTGAAGTAAAACCTCAGGCCGATGACATATATGATTTAGTGACGGTACTTAATTCCCCACAGCCGGAGCGCGATTTTGACTTTTGTTCATTAATTGAAGAAGCTACATAAAATATAATTCTTGCCGGAATCCCAGAATTAGACGCGTACACCGCCGCCGTCGCGAGCGAGTTGAATTCCCCCTTTTGTGTTAATAATAGCGTAAGGTCTACCGAGGACCACATAGAATTTAGCGAAAGTACGAATGTTATAATAACAGCTTTTTGTGAATTAATTGACTCTTAAATAAATATAGAAGTATCAGAACATCTAGATTCTCCCTTATTGACTGTCTAGACCCCCCCCCCCCTTTCCTCCCTCTACCTACCAGCGTACGGCGGGTGCTCTCAACCTTCCCGAGTTATTGCCAGTGAATGCAGGTAGGCCCAAAACAAAAAGAGAACAGCGCATTCTAGTTCCCGAGGGCCCGAGGACGTGACAACGGTCATTCTTATTTTCGGGCTTCCAATTCTTCACAAATTGAAATATTACATATTTTTTTGTTATACGTATTTATTTATGTTATTTATTTCCACTTTGCTTTTGAATTTTTTCTAAGTTTCTTACAAGTTTATATTCTGCTTTTCTTCGCTCTTTATAAAATCGATTCTTTTTGTTGCTTCATTTTTTGTCATTAATTCGTGATAGATGTAAAACGACGACTTATCCTTCTTATATTTATTGCTTTTCTTTCTAAGTTTTTCTTCTAATTTTTTGGGGGTTTTTCTTCTGCTTTTGGTCCTTCTTAATTTTAAAATTTTTGTAGCTTAATTTTTTAATGATTCGTTGTATATATGTAAAACCACGGCATATCTTCCTTTTCATTCTTCCGATTTTTTAAAGTCATTTTCTTGGTTTTTTTTCTTTCTTTATATCTTTTAACATTTACGTTTTTCGTTGCTAATTTGTGTTATTTTCTTCTATTTTATTTTATTTTGCTTATTTATTTATTTTCTATTTATTTATTTATTTTAATTTATTTTATTTATATATTTATTTATTTATTTATTTATTTACTTTTTACATACCGCCTTCGGAGCATGCCCAACAAAATATGAGACAGCCGTAGTCAAAGTGGGGTCAGAATGAGATCGGGACGAGGTCACGATGATGTCAGGATGAGTTCAGAATGAGTTTGGTACCTGGTTTTCGGAAAAATGATATTTGTGACATTGGTCGTGCAGGAAGGGAATACATTATTAGAATGTGAAAAAAGAAGTGGTAGCTCCCCCTCCCCTCCATTTTTGTTCTCTCGCCCGTATCTCGTAAACCATTGGTGAGGTAAGGTTGGTGTCTGAGAGGACGTTGCTGCCCCTTGGAAACGCAATCAGTCGCACTCACCCCGCCCTTTCACCACCTCCCGGTGAGGCGCTGTATTTTTGGAAGTTCCGTTTTTGGAATGGAGAACGTCTCACAACTCTGCCACGACTGCTAATAACATATCGGAAGTGCGGAGACCGACGTCCCTTTCTTCAGGCTTTCTAACAAACACAGCCCGGCCCCCCTAACATCACTTGTTCGAAAGTTACAACCGGTTTCCCTTAAAAACCTAACTGTCATTCTTGCTTTCGGGCTTCTAATTCTTCACAAATCAAAATATTACATATTTTTTTGTTACCTATTTATTTATGTTACATATTAATTTATGATATTTATTCCCACCGTGATGTTGAATTTTTTCTAGGTCTTTTAAATGTTTCTTTTCTGTTTTTTTTCACTCTTTCTAAAGTTTACTCTTTTTGTTGCTTGATTTTTTGTCATTAATTCGCGATAGATGTAAAACGACGACATATACTTTTTCTATTTATTGCTTTTTTTCTAATTGTTTTTCTAATTTTTTTTGGTTTTTTCTGCTTTTTGTTTCTTTTTAATTTTTAAATTTTTGTAGCTTAATATTATTAATGATTCGCGGTATATATGTAAAACGACGGCCTAATCTTCTGTTTATTCTTGCGTTTTTTTAAAGTCTTTTTGTAGGTTTTTTTTTTTCTTTACATCTTTTTAACATTTACGTTTCTGGTTGCTAATTTGTGTTATATACTTCTTTTTCATTTATTTTCTTCATTTAGTTATTTTTTTATTTATTAATTTAATTTATTTTAGTTAATTTATATATTTATTTATTTATTTATTTATTTATTTATTTTTTCCATGCCGCCTTCTGATAATACCCAA